CTGGGAACAGACCTCAGGTTGTCAGGTTTGGTGAAAAGTACACCAAGCTGAATTATCCCACTGGACCATAAATATTATTCTAACCAGAGAATCTGGTGCAGGTAAAGTCAGATTTAAAAAAATTAATTAATTGGGTGCACATGAATGATATGTGTGTGTCATAGTGCACGTGTGGAGGTCAGAGACATGCCTGTAGGAGATGGTTCTCTCCTTTGACTATGTGGGGCCTGGGGATCAAACTCAGGTTATCAGACTTAGCAGTTGGCCTCAGACTTGCTATGTAACCTGGGAGGAGAATCACCTTGAACTTCTGATCTCCACCAGTGCAAAGATTTCAGGCAAGTGTTTATTATGCCTGGTTTATATGGTGCTGGAATTGGGACCCAGGGCATCACATATGTTAGATAAATACTCTACCAACTGAGCTATATTCCAGGCCCCAGGATTTCTTATAAACAGGATTTCAGATCTTACCACATGTTTAAACTTGAGTATGCCTTAGCAATCTTTAAACTAAATGTTCAATTTCTCAAATGTGTTAGAAACACTTTTATCAGCAAACATAAATGGCATGGAAACAACTGAATTGTGATTCTGACAAATTAAAAAAAAATCTTGATTCATTTTCCTTTAGTTTTCTGTGTGTGTAGCATATATGAGTATACTATGTTCATATGTGTGTGTGTGTACTATGTTTGTGGAGGCCAGAGGTCAACATTGGGTGTCTTCCTCAATTATTCTCTGTTCTATTTTCTGAGATAGGCTCTCTTACCAAAACTTGAGCTCAGCAATTTGGGTGGACTGGGTGGCCAACAAGCCCAGAAATCCCCTACTTTTGCTTCTCCAGTGCTTGGATTACAGATTTTTTTTTTTAATTAAGTCCTCAGGTTGCACACAATTTTCTTTAGCTTTCTATGACAGCTCATATGCTGATTAGTGGCAACTGGTTGGCTAACTCAAAGCTGATAAAAGAACAAAAAACTTCCTAAATATAATGCTTGATATATGGCCAAACTAGAGGTGGGCACCAAGACATTTTGGTAAGTGATATTCAGTGCAAACATTACCTGTGTTATTAATATTTAACATATAGTATCAAGAGCTTATCATTCAAAGAATCATTTTAAAACCTTCAGTCCAACTTCAACGCTGAACCTAAGCAGAGCAGTTCACAAATCTATCTTGCACAAGAGGTTTTGTCATCTCCATCATCTAACAGCTGAAAATAGCTTTCCTGAGCGCACACCACACCTTTGCTTTAAATTTATTTTCATCACGAGTCAGGATCATGCCTCTGCATGCGGTATTTATCCTCAGGGAAGCCACATTATAAAGATACACTGCCTAGACAAGCAGCTCACCCGGTCTCTCAGAAAGATAAGTTTCAAAAGCATGTAAGCATTAAATTCTGGCCAAAAGAGCAAAGTAAAATCAGTAGCTAAGATTAAGATAGACTTTAAATATGACATTAATAAATTAAAGAACAACGTCTTCAAGAGTCTGAGGAAGTGGCTGGATAAAAAAAATCAAGTTATGAAATAAAAAAATTGTAAATTATATTCTGTAGAATCACTGAAAACCATGACCAAGACTAAAGATATGGTTCAGTGGCAGAACACTTATCTGGCAAGCAAAACAGACCTCAGGTCTGATCCCTAGCACAGTCAATAATGCTTTACCAAATTCATGATTAATTTACTGACATGGCAAGATATCCATGATAAACAGGTTAAAAGACATTATGTGTCATACTTTTGCAAAACAACAAAACAAAGTTAAGTATGGCTATGTTAGTTCACTTAGCTGCCTACACCTGACCCCATGCAAATACAAGACAGAGTGGAAAGGTGCTCACTCAAACAGCAGGAATGGCTTTTCTCAGAGGGAAGGATATGGTTATTCTTCATTCCTTTTTGAACTGTCTGATTTGAAAAACAAACCAAACCCCACACAATGCACTTATTTTCAGAAAAAAGTAAGCTCATTTTCCTTGCTGAGAAAATTTGACATATTATAAAACTAAAATCAAAAAACTAATTTTTAAAAATTGTCCTGCCAAGTTCTTAGCTTTTGTAAAAACTTCATTGAGGCTACTGTAAATATTCTGAAACTCACTGATTTCTCATTTGATTTTTAAGTGGGTGTTTGATAATAAGGAAGAGCACTATAAAACCACTTCCTATTCAATAACTAGAAGTTTAAAGTATGGAAATAACATTTATACCTGTACTTGGAAAGTAGGACTCCTCCAGAGGAAAATATTGTTTTTTGTTTGTTTGCTGTTTTCAATGCTTAAGCAAAAAGTGGGCTTTGGTTGGGTTAAAAAGAATAAGAGAAGGAAAAAAAAAGCAAAAAAAAAAAAGCAGGATTTTTCAGTTGACTATCTAACTTTTAACCTTATGTACAAGCCCTGAGATAAGAATTTTAGCATTCCAAATAAACTCTAGACAAAAGCCTTTGCTTTGGGTCTACAAATGCCCCTTTCAGTTACAAAGTGCTAATTTGTGCAAAGTCATACAATGCCTTTACTCATTTTCTGAAAATGACTCACTCAATATTCTGAAACATAATGACTATGTAGCAATTCAAAATAACTGTAAAATGGCTTGTCATTTTAATGCAGAAGCATGAATTAATTTTTTTGAACTTATATTCTGTAAACATAACACATACTACTTACTCGCAAAACCTAAAAGTAATGCAGTTGAAGCTGCATATTTTAGTAGGAAAAGAGGCTTTAATCCTCAAATCTGCATTCCTAACTTACCCTCCAGTCTTTCAAGATTCATATGGGAAATTATTTTTATATTTAGGGGTTCAAACTAAACTCCAGAAGGTTTTCAATGAGCAAAAGATAAAACCCACGATGACACCCCTAGGTTTAGCTTTTCCCATATCATACTATGTTCAAAAGCTCTCATAGCAAATATCCAGTCTCCACAAGTGACTACTCATACTGGCTTTTGTTGTCATAAGTATACAACAGGCTTTAGTAAAATTGTATTCAAAATGTGATCAGCATCTTTTGAAAACTTGTTAAAAATGTAAATTATCTCTACTCCCAGCAACCCACAATAACCCAACTGGAGTTGATTTTGATATACCCTAAAGCCTCAGAACCACTGTTTTAGAGCAGCAAAGCTGTAAGACCCATCCTCTGTGCCCCATAGCTGGGTTCCCCCTGACCCCCATGTATCCCTGGCTGTCCTGGCTCACTCTGTAGACTAGGCTGTCTTTGAACTCGGAGATCCAACTGTCTTTGCCTCTTGAGTGCTGGGATTAAAGTGTGGATGATCACTGCCTGGCTACAGTTGACTTTTAAAAGAATTATTTGAGAAATAAGTATATTAAAAAAATGCAGATGGTCAGAAAGATGGTGGCTCAGTAGGTAAAATTGCTTGGTGTGAAAACCTGATGATCTGAGTTCAGTCCTTGGATTCCAGAGTGGAAGGAGAAAGCCAACTCCCGCCCTCCATGTGGCATGTTTGCCCTACTTACTCTCTCACATGCATTACACAAATACACATACTTGGACACATAAAATACTTTTTAAAAATGCAGACAACAGTGGGAAGATGGCACAAAAGGTAAAACCTCAGCAACATACCTTATTTCAAAAGAGAAATTAAGGTGGAGAGTAGTAGAGAAGAGACTTAACATCTTGCTTCTACATGGCACACGTGAGTGAGTGTACTTGCACACATAGAAATGCCACACATACATTTTTAAAACTTTTAAGAAAAGGTGTGCATCAATCAATCTATTAATAATGAATAAGGAAGAAAGTGATTAAAATGGAGAGTTAGTGAGGAATATGATACCCAACATTAACTTCTGGCTTCTACTTGTGTATGTGTGTGCATTCATGCACACACACACACATGCACACACACACACACACACACACACACACACACACACACACACAGAGTAGAATCAGCATTTGAGAGAAAAGTAACAAAATTTTAAGAGTTAAGCAAATGAGGAATCAGTGACTACAGAGGGCTCCGAGGCTTGATCAGCTCCCAGAGTCAACTTGACACTTTACTGCCTCACGTCTCCTCTTAGACAGATAATGTCAATATCTGCCTAGTGCACTTCCTCCTGTCTATTCTGTATTAGCTTCCAGAGAATCTTCCTTAGATACTGTAGCTGGTTCATGTTATTTCTTGGCTCAAAGACCTTGTATTTCATAATGCTTCGTGAAGAGGGAGAAGTACTGACTGCCTCTACGGTAACATAGGAGATCAGATACAAATACAAATGTGAAATAAGTCACAAAGTTTTTTTTTTTTGTTTGTTTGTTTTTTTTTCCCTCTTCCTGAGACAGGTTATCCTGAAACTTACTATGTGGACCATGCTGGCTTTGAACGCACACAAATATACCTGCCTCTGCTTCCCAAGTGCTGGGAATAAAGGTGTACAGCCACCATATTTGGTCCTCATTTCACACTTCTTCAGGTGTCTATTTAATCCTGGGAAAGTAGTCAGGAAATGAGGAAAAGGGCAAAGACAGCCTAAGGTAGCTTGTCTAACATCACATGATTAGCAAGAACTGGAGCCCAAGTCTCCTGACTCTGAGGTCAGCAATAGTTGCTGCTAATTTCATTCATATCTTGTCCCTTCCTATGTGCTTTTGATTGAGCTATGTTCTTAGAATGAATTCGTCTGTTTTAAGATCTGCTCAAGTTCCACTGTCTAATACAAAAGCTTCCCCAACTAAGATAAATTTCCATTTTTTTCTCCTTTTTCTGAACTTCAGCTGTGTTATGGAGAATAACTTACAAACCAGCAATCAACAACAAACTTGAGCCAGAGTATTTTATTCCACTTTATAGTATGTTTTACAGTAATTAAATTCGCAGCTGGACTGTGGGGATAGGACATTCTTTATTCTATTCCACCTAGGTCCAAGCATTATGTTTGAACAAAAAGTAACTTTAACATTAGCTATTTTAGGCAGCCTTTTGAGGAAGAAAATTATGATGTCATTAACTTACCAGCCTTATGTTGTCTTCTGGGCGGAGTAATATGAACATTGCTTGAAGATGCTGTTGGAGATCGCCTGGTGAAATTTAAAAGGCAAAGGATGACTATTCTCTGTTCAAAACAATCAATAGAAAAGATTACTTCTACCTTAGTAACTTGTAAAGTTATGACTTACTGAAAGACTTAAATTTTTATTTTTACATTTTAATATTTTAGTATGTGTGAGTGCTCATGCTCATGTATCATGATGATACTTTCTGAGGAAGTCAGAAGGCAACTTGTGGAAACTGACTTTCTCTTTCCACTATGTGTATGCTAGGAATTGAACTTGGGTTGTCATACTTGCAGCAAGCACCTTTAATCCATGGAATTACGGCATACATTTTTGTTGTTATTTAGAACTGGGTTTTACTATGAATCCCTGGCTGATCTGAAATTTTGTATGAAGATGAAGATGGTTTTCAATGAACAGAGATCCGCCTTCCTCTGCCTCTGGAGTGCTGGGATTAAGGGGGTGAGCCACCACGCCCAGCTCTATTTCACATTTTTATCATGTGCATATCATGTTCAATGAGGGCAGAAGAAGGTGCTGCAGTTGGTTGTGAGCCAACTGATTTAGGTGCTGATAACAAACTTGGGTCCTCTATAAAAGAGAGTGTGCTTTTAACAGCTGAGCCATTTTCCCAGGCCCATGAGTCTTTTCATTAGACACAAAAGTCAGATAAAATTATTGGTTAAATTTTAAACTTTATTTATTTATAATGTTTTGTTGTGTTTATTTTATTTATTTATTTGTTTATTTATTTATTATGTCTATGGGAATTCTATCTCCTTGTATACCTGCATGCCAGAAGAGGCATCAGATCACATTATAGATGGTTGTGAGCTACTATATGGTTGCTGAAAACTGAACTCAGGACCTTTGGAAGAGCAGCCAGTGCCCTTAACCACTAAGCCATATCTTCAGTCCGGTTTGATTTTTTTAAATAGTAAGAAATTAGTAGGCTGCCTTTTTATAATATTTATTTGCAGTTTACAGTATGTTAAGATTTGTATCTGTTATACCAGGTAGTGGTGGCTAACGCCTTTAATCCCAGCACTAGGGATGCAAAGGCAGGTGCATCTGTCAGAGAAAACCCTGTCTTGAAAAACTAAAAAAAAAAAAAAAAAAAAAAAAGTATCTATCTTAGAAAAGGTGTATTTGAGAATTCTGAGAATAATCTATGCTTTATACAATGGTAGAAGTAGATAAGGGATCTGTTGGTGAGTGTGTTGGTGAGTATGTTGGTGAGTATGTTGGTGAGTATGTTGGTGAGTATGTTGGTGAGTATGTTGGTAGAAACCCATTAAGGTAGCAAAACAAGTGTTTTAAAAATTACCCCTAAGTTTTGAATGATATATATATAATTCCTATTCCTGTAATAAGATAATTCTGATAATTAAGGGATTAGATTCCCTTTATTTTCAATAGCTAAAATGGTTAGTGGGTGATATTACAATGAGAGTATCTATTAAGTAGAACATACTGGAAATAGTTATTGTCCTGAACAAACTAGGCGTTTTAACATGGCCAATTATTATTTGAAACCTCACTTATTCTTATGTATTTTATAACACTAAATTGAAAATTCTTTGAGTTAAGATTTAAAATACTAAGGATGATGCCAAGCCTGGTAGTACATGTCTAACTAATCCCAGCACTCAGGAGGCTGAGGCAAGTGGATCTCTATGAATTCAAGGCTAGCCTCGTTTACTTAGTGAGCTCCATGCCAGCCAGGGCTACACAGGTCTCAAACAGCAGCAGCAGCAGCAGCACCACCACCACCACCAAAACTAAACCCAAAACCAAAAGAGTCTAAATACTTATGTGTGTGTGTGTATGTGTGTGTAGTGGAAATTCACTATGTTATAAGATTGTGGGGGGAAGTTTGAACACAGATACCTTTTATTAGTATGGGTGAGTATGATTCTCCCAGAAGACATGAGTTATTAGGTGACAGTCACCAGTACTAGGTATGGGATCCCTCTCTAACAGTCAAGGAGTCTCCACAGGCACCCCAAACAACACAACAATAATAACAATAGCTGTTGTTATTACTCTTAGTTGCCTACCAGAACTTATGGTACAGCCTTACTGCTGAAGACATAATATACTTTGGCTGTAGGACATAGAGAAATCAAACTGGAATTGACCTGAAAGTTCCTTTCTATTGACTAAATCTTTTTGTTGTTATTGTTTTTTCGAGACAGGATTTCTCTGTGTATCTCTGGGTGTCCTGGAACTCACTCTGTAGACCAGGCTGGCCTCGAACTCAGAAATCCGCCTGCCTCTGCCTCCCAAATGCTGGGATTAAAGACGTGTGCCACCACCACCCGGCCACAAATTTTCTTATTCCTCCTACTCAGTTCTAGGAAATCCAAGGATTTGGCTAACAGAGAAAGATAATAAGCTGTCACAAATGATGATCTAAGAACCCAAGGATTTATTTCTGCTCACCTAGGGTACTTCTAAAAGAGCTTTAAGATGTCTGACACAGCCACATAATCATGGATGCCAGTGTAACTTGTTTTCTTTCACACTAGCCTTGAAGCCTGCATATACTTCCTCTATGTTCACCTAATAGCTTTTAAATATGATATTAGCCTTGCAAGAAGTAGTGAACTAGGAAGAAAAAAATGCAAGTAGGTGTGTTTAAAGGTTAAGTCTGGAAATCTTTCCTCATTTTTTTCAAAGAACATTTTTTTCCTTCCCTCTCTGTTTCACTGCTTGCTTCTAATTCCAAAATTACAGAATCCTTTAACGTTCAATATTAAATACAAGATCCATTCTATAACGTTTTAAACCCAGAGACACAATCTGAAGCCAGCTTAAGTTCTAGGAAGCCTTGTCTCAAAGAAACAAAGAAATAAACAGGTATACTCCCCACACCCCAGAAAATCTACAACAAAAATCCCTCAAGTTTATATCACGTATGGTGTCTCATACCTGAAATCTAAATGCACAGGAAGCTAAGGCAGGACGGTCCCTCCTTCACTTTATACTCTGTACATATTTCACTACTAGTAGTAGCTAAACAATAAATTAAGTTTGATTAAAGAATTTTCATCATTTTCTTTTTAAAGATATAGATTGTCATTTACTAATAATATTTTTAAATTGTCAAACAGTATTTGGATATTTTAAATGATCAGATTAAAAACTCTATCCAGATTAAGAAAGCACACATAGAAATTCACCAGACATTGTAAGCTTTTGATACATTCTATCCAGCCACTATGCTGTGCTTAGCCAAGGCACTTTATATCAAGGTTTGGCTTTTATAAACTTCATTTCTACACATTTTGCCTCAACTGTCTAGTCTGGATCACAAATCTATTCCATGCAGCCTGCGTTAAACCTGCTTTTTCTTTTTACGTAAGTGAACAGTAATATCAAGTAGAAATAGTTGAGTGTACAACTCCTGCCCCTTCTGTCTGGCCCCCTCCCCCAAGTCAACCAAGGCCAGGCAGAAGCCTTAAAAAGTAACTAACCCCATTTACTATTACATGCCATGGGGCAATTTACCCAAAATTAGTCAGGTGAGTTGGATTTAAAATAATGGTTTGTCTTACTTTTACTCTCCACACCCAATAGAAAGAAAAGCTTAGGTTAGCTTATTTCCTTTGAGTATTCACATTTGTTTTGGCAAAACACTCACCCCATCTCTAATGGAGGACACTGAGGAAGAAGCACTGAGAAAGTATACTCAAGCTAATTTTCAAAAGTTTTCCCACCCTTACTTAAAAAGAAAAATGCCATTGACAGAGAGTATTGGTAGGAACTTATTAACATGGCCTAGGAAGCTAGTTATAATAGTGAACATTTATAATGAGATGAAAACCCAAACAAGAAGTAGCACAGCCTCTAAAGTAGATGAGATTATTTTGATTATAGCTAAACTCAACTACTGACTCAATAAGATGCAACATTTCTAGCTTTCACTTCTGGTGTGTATGCTCAAGTTTCCTTCCTTGTAATTTCTTCCATTCCCAGAGGTCACAAATCACCAAAGTTAAGGCAAAAGGTTTGTATAGTTATCTTTAATTGTCAACGTGACACAGCCTAGAATCACCTGGGAAAAGACAGTTAATGAGGGTCTGTCTACATGGGATGGTTGACTGGCATGTCTCTAGGAGACTGCCATAATTAAGTTAATTGATAGGGTAAGACTCAGTTACTTTGGGTGGTACCATTCCCTAGGCAGGATGGGTCCTAAGCTGAGTTAGTTAGAATAGAGATATTGGGCTAAGCACAAGCAAGCAAGCAAGAAAGTGAGCATGTATGTATTCATTTTTCTCTGCTCTTGGCTATGAATGTGATGTGACTACCGTTTGAAATTCCTGCCTTGACTTCCTTGCAATAATGGACTGTAATCTGGAATTATGAGCTAAGGCAAATTCTTTCTCCCACAAATTGCTTTCTGTCTAAATATCTTATCCTAGCAACAAAAAGGAAACTAGAACATATATGTGCAGTTTTACCTGCATGCTTGTTGCGTCTGTGGCTGATTCTTGGTGTAGACGAGCCATTCCCTCGTGGTAGAAATAGGGCAGCACCTTTGACAGTTAAGAAGCTCTCACTGATGCTGTGAGGAAAAAGTTAAGAGAAACATTATTTAAGGGAAGAAAATAGGATGAAGGACTCAATTTAAGATTTCTCTCTCTTCCCTATGTAAAGTTCCAACTTCATAGGGTGAAGCATGCTTTTAATTCTAGCACTGGAAGGCAGAGGCAGGCATCTGATCTTGATGAGCTCAAGGCCACCCTGGGCTATAAAGCAAGTTCCATGACAATCAGGACCACACTGTGAGACTGTCTCAAAAAGAAACAAAATGACAGGGAAATTAAAACAAACAAAAATAAAAAAATTAATTCTAGTTGCTCACATATAGTCCTGCCTATTCTAAATAATTTTTCTAAAATAAAACTTAAGGTATTGTACTTAAATTACATGGCAGCAATTAAGAACAACTTTAAATAAATAAAAGGGAAAAGACTTGAACTAGATCGTGAGGGTATTTGCTATGGGAACAAACCTACATTTACTCTTCTATAAAATGAGGATGCTCTGAGAATCACTGAACACACCACAGAAGTAAGTCCTTAATAATTAGTTATTATTAGTGAGTATAAGTGACAGTGTTTCAATAGTGTCCTGATAAGATGTAAAATGTTCCCTATTTTCTTTTTCAAAATTAAATTTTATTTTTAATTTTTGTGGTGTTAGGTCCTTGGATCAAACATGGTGTTAGGTCCTCACATATACTTGGTGCTTACTTTAGCACTGAGCCATGCTTACTGCCCATAAATGCTTCTATATTTATTTATAAAAAAATCCAGAGTTTGAAAGAAAACACTTATTTTTAAAACACACACGCACGCACTCATGCACGCACACCCCTCATTCTCAAGTGTGAGATCAAGGCTTTATTTTGATTAAACAGAACAGTGGTTACTAAAACCTGCAAAGAATAATGTGTGGGGGGTGGTTGATGGGTACAAGTGTCTACTTGGATAGGACAAATAACTTCTAATGTTTTACAGCATAATAGGATAACTATGACTGATTACAACTGTATATACTTCAAATTAGCTATTAGACTTTTAAGGTTCCTAACATGAGGAAATGATAAATAAATGTCTGAGGTGATTGAATGACAGTTATCCAGATCATCCTTAAACACTGCATATGGGGGCGGGTGCACGTGGAGTGGAGAGATGGCTTATCATTGCTGAAGAGCACTTGTTGCTCTTACAGAGGACTCACGCTCAATTTCCAGTGCCAGCTACAGGGGATTCAACAAACATTTACACGGTATACACACAAGTATATAGGCAAAACAGTCATACACATAAAGTAAAAATAAATAAATCTACAGAAGTAAAAATTTATATAAAGGCATAAAAATACTACATTTTATTTCACAAATATGCACAGCTGCTGTTTGTAAATTAGAAATAAAAAACTAAAATTGCACTCTCAGTAAGTTGCACTCCACACAGACTAAAGAGGACTAGCACAGAGGCAGTGTGCTGTACTTCCTGGAGTATATCTCCTGTGTTAACCTCATTCATGTGGGAGGCTAACCACATAGGTAGAGAACTATTGCTTAGAACAGAAGATACTTAAAACTATAATGACAAGTGGCTATCCCTCTTCTAAACTCTTAAGCTCATCCTCACAACTGATCCATAGATTCAACTACATAGTTGTCTGGGACAAATGCTGAACAGTCATGTCAGCCTTGGTGTCTTTTTACCTCCCCACAATATGTCTCTGATCCATCTGCAAACACCGTGGGCTGTACTCTCAAACCTACCTTGAATCTGCCCTCTTACCGCCATCATTATGACTGGTCTATAGTTGCCATTTTCTTCTTCTTTTTTTTTGGGGGGGGGGAGTGGAGGTGGAGGGCGGAGACAGGGTCTCTCTGTGTATTCTTGGCTGTCCTAGAACTCACTCTGTAGACCAATCAGGCCTTGAACTCAGAGATCTGCCTACCTCTGTCTCCCAAGTGCTAGGATTAAAGGAATGCACCACCACTGCCCGACATTTCCTTCTTACATTATTTTTGCTTTGATATTTAAAAAGCAATTTTATTGGGAAATTAACCTTTGCTGATTTAACTGGGTCTTAGCTACCTGCCTAGTTTTCTGAGTTAGGATCTCATGTAGTCATGCTGGTCTTGAACTGTCTGAATGGATTCTCTTGTCTCCACTTCCCAAGTATTGGGATCAAGGTGTGAGCCACATATCCAGTCAATAGTTCTTTTAAGAGTAAAAGACAGTGTTGCATTGAACTACAGTTACTTTCCAACCATTTTTCTAGCATTACTATACTGACTTGCACACACAGTCAGAAGCTATATGGTAAATTTTTTTTGTTAGAAATTAAAGAGGTTTTGGTTTGTTTCTTTTTTTTTAATAAGAAAATCAATAGCTTTATTTTTCATTAAAATACACAATTAAAAGATTAGTCTGAGAAGAGGTTTTGTGTTGGAAACTAGAATGGAATATATGTAAAATCTAAAAAGAGCAGAATGGAAGCCCAGCTGCCTAGGGCCTGCCCAGCAGAGGGGAGGCCAGGTCTTTGATGGTTTTGGAGTTCAGCTCAGGGATCGTGCTGATCTTCAGGAGCCTGCTGCTGGCATACTTGTTCTTGACGGCGATCAACTTGGTGAGATTGTCATTGACTTTTACAACGTTCTTGGCCATGTGCTGCATGACTTCCAGTACCTCACTCTCCACGTAGCCTGTGTAATACTGCTGCTTTAAATTCCACTTTCCTTGGCCCGGCACCTTCTGAGACAGGCAGGAAGCGGTGGCTGCAACCTGAGAAGGATGGTAGTGCACCATGTCATAGTCGAAGAGTGTCAGCTCCATCAGGTACTTGGCTAATGTGTGTTGTTCAACATCCACCTCCCCAGCTTTTGAGGCTCACCTTAAGAAGTGAAGTGGCAAAGGCCGGCCCAACTCAAATTTCAGCTCCTTCAAAACCAGAGTCTCCATTTCTGATTTGGGAACTGGTGTAAGCATTGTCTGTGATATAAACAAAGTCTTCAATATTTGGAGAAAACATCTCCTCATATTTGGAAGCCAAGAGCAGAGCTGTGATTCCAACCAGCTGTAGCTTCTTCCGGCAGACTGGCTGAGCCTGTAGGAACCGGTCCATTATGGCAATGCACATGTACAGAGTTTCCTGCAGAAGTCTAAACTTGGAATGAACTTGGACAAGCCAGTCCACCAGAATGGCACGCATACGTCCATTTATATCTCTTCCTTCTAAGAAGTGTGGATTGATGGACTGCAAAGCCTCAAGCTGCCTGAGATACTGATAGATGTCCTTCACGTAGTCACTGCAGAGCTGAGGGCTCTCCCCCCCTCATTATCTATGTCCTCAATCTTGCAGAGCAAAGCATCAGAGAAAGCTTGGCAGAGGCTCTCTTCTTTCATGGAGACATCCTCGGGGGCAGGAGGAGGATCCTTTGGAGCCAGTGTCTCCATCTGCACTGGTTTCACAGAAGCTGTAGGTTTCGGCTGCTTGTTGACATTTGTTGCTTTGGTGGGATGAACTAATACTTTGGTGTTCTGAGATTTCTTAGTCACTTGAGCGGTTCTGGTTCTAACTTTATTTCCAATTTCTTCTAAAACTGCCTGCTGGATAGTGACATGGCTCTTCGCTTTAGGATTAACTCCTGTGTCAATATTCTTCAAATCACTGGACACCACTGGGCGTCGGAGCAGCGCCATGAGGGCCGCACTAGCAAGTGCGGACAAGGTACAGCTACTCGGGTCTACGACACCGTTGGGAGTCTGAAAATCTTGCCGCTCCTTGGTTTGTTTCTAAAGTAGAATATCACATCGCTCAGGATGGCTTCACTCACCTATGTAGTTTATAATGACTGTTCTTTTCTTCCTCCTGCCTCTACCTCTTCTGTGTTGGTATTATAGACATGTGCTAATACATCTTAGTGTTTATTCTGTAATAAAACCTTTTTAATAAAAGTTGTCAAACAGCTGGGCATAGTGGTGAATGCCTTTAAATCATGGATCTCAGGAAATAGTTGGGCAAATGTAAATTGGAGGACAGCCTAGTCTACATAGTAAGAACATCTCAAACCAAACCAACTAACCTAGCAAAACCAAAACAAAACCTTTTAAACATAAACAAAAGTAGGGTGCGTGTGTATGTATGCATGCATGTATGTGGTGGGGAGTGGAGTGGGAGAGATGCTTCAAGGGTTAAAAGTTCTTTGCTGGTCTTGTAGATGACTCAGGTTTAGCTCCTGAAGCCCACAGTAATGAGCTCACGACTGCCTGTAACTCCAATTCCAGGGGATCTAACCTCTTCTTGCTTCTTCAAGCACTTGTACACACCTGATGCATGTATACACACATAGGCACACATATATACACAAAATAAATAAATATTTTTAAAAACTAGGAAGAATACTATGAACACCCATATTTCTATCACATTCTAACTTTAGTTCACAGCTAATTTTATATCTTCATCCCTTTTACTTGGTCTCTAGTGTAAATCAAATCCCAGAAACTGTATTAGCAAAAAGCCTTTTGGTAGTTAGTTCTGTTACCCTCTCAGCAAATAGCAGCCAGAGTGCTTTAAAGTATATCCAGATTACAGCATCACTGTGTAAAACTCTGTAAATGCTTCTTTCCTTCATACTTAAAAATGAAGAACCAGCCTGCAGCTTGGTCTGTGAGGCCCATAAACAGCTTGCAGTGAAGCAACTTAACTCTGACCTTATGCCACCCGCCTCTTCTTGTTTACTATGGACTATCCCTGGTTCCTCTCTTCTGCCTCTTCGGTAGTTCAGGCCCCCATCTCAAGGCCTTTGTACTTACTAATCCTCTACTTGATTCTTCTGAACTGTCCAGTATTTAAATCTCAGCTTTATTACCACCATCCCTCTTCTTCTTTATCCCAATACATCTATCCTGTTGTCCTGTGTTGTCCCTTTCAGGATGCTTTCATGAACTAAAACATTTATTCCTGTGTGTTATTGATTGCAGTTATCAGCATATAAGCTCCATGGATGCAAAGACCTTACCTTGTTCATCATTG